TGTGCTCACTGTTAATATTATCAAAACAACTTTATCAGTGATTTGGGTGAAACTGGATCATATTTTATGGAGAGAATATTGTCGGGACGTCCTCCGGCTGCTCCGCCTCAACTCTGCTAACTGCTAATGTAGCTGCCGTTAGCGTGCAACCGAACGGGGCTCAGCAGCCTCCCAGTGAACACAGAGGACAGTCAGCGGTACCGAACAACGCGTTTCATTCTTTTTTACCTCTGTCATTGGTAGATTTACTAGCCTGACGTGGTGTTTACTTGCCCCAGGTAATCCCTACTGAGCCCTGCTGCTGATTCAGGTCTGAGTAAGGAAGACTGGACTGCAGTGTCTCCAGGAGGAATAAACAGATAATCCCATTTAAATGACTTTATTTCAGTGTGAAGTTTGGTTCATGTCCTCTGAGAGACTCTCTGTACTGACTGTTCATCACATTTCTGACGTGCCTTTTGTGAAGATAATTAAAACAGATAATTACTGTCGCTGTTTCACAATAATGAGGACTCATCGCTGCAGGTGAGCTGATGGTGTATCAGAGCCAATCAGCAGCCTCATTAGGCCTGTCGCTGTGTGTGTGTGTGTGTGTGTGTGTGTGACGCCATCACGTGCTGTTCTGGCTGTTTGTTGTTTGTTCAGAGGTCAGAGGTTGTGACCCGCTGTCTGTGTCCGACCCAAATACCCGATGAGTTTGTATTGACGGAGTGAAACAGAGCAGCAGGACCAACTGTTCACACGGCGTTCTCTGGTTGACTGAAGCTCGTCTGATGCCCCAAACCTTTTTACAAACTTTGTTTGTGTTTATGCACAAATTGAATGTTAAAGTAAAGTAGCAGCCAGAAAGAAAACAGCGTGGTCATATTTCACATATTACAGTAAACACAAAGACATAATGACCTCCACCTTCAGGTTAGAAAAGAACAAGTAAGAAAGAAACAGACAGATGTTATTCGGGGATGAGAAAGGAAGAGCCTTTCAGCGGATATCTGATTCAGGCTGTAAACTGTGTGTGTGTTTGTGATTTCCATCTTTCTGATAATAAACATGCTGCCACAAAGACTCTCAGATCTGCTCGGAGCCTGGGCACAGACTGAGAGGTTAAAGGTAAAAAGGGGCTTTGGCAGAGTTTACATTAATAATTCATGTTGGTAACCCTGAATGCTGCTCGTTTGATATAACTTTAAATCTGTTTGGTTTATTACTGCAGAACTGTGACAGAGTCCAACCCTCGAGTGTACCGTGAGGTTTTTGGTCCTGAGCCCCGTCCTGTTGTGCTGTTGTTTTGTCGGTCTGTTTATGGCGTCCTCGTGGGGTCACTCTGCTCACCGGTCTCACGTGTGTCTGTCTGCTGCCAACTCGGACTTGGTTTGAATCCAGATCTGCTGTTCTGTTGTCTGCTGGGAAACTGCAGAAGCTGCCAGCTGGACTGAGGGGTTTTCAGATCCTGTTTAGATCAGACCTCCTTCAGAAAAACAGAGTTTACTGCTTAAGAACAGTCTGTACACTGTGTTCAACCATTAACTCTGAACCCTCCACCTCTGACCTCTGACCTCTGAAACTTGTGTGAAGAACTGGCCGTCAAGTTGTTTTCATATTTGTTAATCAAATATAACTCGTGTTTTTCACCCACGATTCTGTTTGGGCAACCTTAGCCGGCATCTTTTCTCAATGACGTAGCCAATGTTGTACCGAATGACACCAACCAGGTGGGTTCACTGTTCGTTACCTGGTCTGTGCTTGTAGAATATCCACCGTGTCTGCTTCTTAACGTAACACCAGAAAGTGTCGCTCTCTCTGTGCAACTGTCGGTAGAGCGGCGGAAGATTGTCACTGGTCTTTGACGTTTGTAAAAAATGTAAAAATGATAAAATGGGTTACAAAATATATAAATAAATATACTCTGGCAGTCATTAACATACATTTATCCCAAGTGAGGTCTGTGTGGACCACTCTGGAACTGAATCTGACATTTAATAGTGGTAGAGTGACTTTAGATGTTTCAAAATGTTGTTTTCAGGGTTTTGGGAGTTCTGGGAGAAAATTATTTTTAGCGAATGAACAATTTTTTATAAAGATAACAATAAAGATTCAGTAATGTGATTGTCAGGGTGGATGAGGTTCTTCCTGGTCCTGGGTGTATGTCAGCTGTTGACTTTGTCTGTTCCCTGCAGGTGGGTCTGGGTCAGGTCCTGGAGCTGGTCGGTGAGCTGCTGCAGTACCTGCAGAGCGTCCTGGTGGCGCTGTTGTACCGGGCAGAGAGTCTCAGAGAGCTGACCCTGAACGGGATCAGAGGTCAGGCTGTCATGTTAGCTGAGCTGCGTCCTGTTCGTCAGATCACAGAGCTGCCGGTTCAGATCCAGCAGCTGCTCCGAGACCTACAGGAACTGTCCAAGATCCTCCTGCAGCTGATGATCAACGCCACACCACTCTACACCTTGGTGAGACTCACCTGAGACGCATCTGCCCCACCCACTCTACACCTGTCCTGAAGCAGGGAAAGGAGATAATTTATTAATTACCAATAATCAATATAATTGTGTCTTTCAGCTGCAGCAGCCGTCTGACCAGCAGGTCGAGGACTTCATGAACCAGGAGGACTTTATATCCGACAGTTCGTCTCGTCGCAGCTCAGCTAACAGCCTCTTCCTGAAGGCGATGGATGGCCGTCCTCGTCGCCGCCGGAGTCTCTACTCTCGGGCCGGTCGAGGCTCTGGGGACCCCCAGAGTCCCGACCCCCCCAACGGCCGCCGCTCCAGCGTGAAGGAAACCCCGGCCCTGGAGGTGGAGGGCCAGCCGATCCCTTCCGATGGTGTCGTCGTCCACCGCCGCCCGTCTGCCACCGAGCTGCTCCTCGCTCCGCTCAAACAGTTCGTCTCTCAGAGCCAGAAGGCCTTCGAGTACCTGAGCCCCAACAACGCCGACAACGCCGACAATGCCGACAACGACACGGCGATGACCGACTGTTAGACACCACGCTGAGGTCCCACCCCGCCCCCATCCACGACCAATCACTGCTGCCAGCCCCGCCCTCCGACCAATCACAGCCTCCCATCTCAGCCCCCGATGACGAGACGTCTCTGCCTCAGCTGGCGTTAGTTTGTGTGTTCTCGTTCACCAACCGAGCGATCAGAAAATTAGTTTAAATGTCTGAGAGTCGATTCTCAAATTAGTGACGAGATGCACTTCCTTCCTTTTTCCAGAGCTTTCAGACGCAGCTTGTGGCCTTCATCCAAAATGTATTTGCTGTTTTCTTAAATGTTATTTTGCCTCTCAAGGCCACTGTACTCAGCTGTCGATGCAGAAAGAAGAGTGTTGTTGTTGTTGGATGTGATGAATGTCGATGACAGAGAATCGATTATCTGTAACTGATTGAGTGGAACATGTTTTGGAGTGGAGGCTGAAGTTGAATGACCGCCGAGAATTAACAGGAAGTGATTTTAACTTTCAGAAATAAAAGCTTCAAACTTTAAACAAATATTATTTTAATATTATTAATAATTATTATTGTTATTATTAGGGATGAGCGAGTACGTTATTATCTGTATCTGTTTCTGTTTAACCAACTAAATGATCTGCATTTGAATGGGCGGGGCTTAAACCTGATCTGGTTGATCAGAAGTTGCTTTATTTATCAGAATTGATCTTCAGAGCGATGTTATTGATCACAAGAGAAACAATAAAAGTTTAAAAGTATTAACACATTTTACTTATTGCATAAAAACACTATCTGTACCAAATATTCACTCAACCTTAATTATCATCCTCATCATCATCATCATCATCATCATCATCATCTTTTCCAACATGTGACTGACAGACGTGGTTAAATAAAGTTTCATGGACTTTAAAAAAACTTAACTTCAGTGTGCTTGTGTCAGAATTAAAAACAGACTCATTTTATTTATTCAGATTTTAATGAACTTACAGAACTTACAGAGCGAGATATAAACTGACGGTTTCATCAACCAGGGTGGAATTTACTGATCCATTACAACCAGTAAAACCCTCCAGGGACACCAAGAGAGGCACTGATCCACTTCCTGTTCTGATACCTGAGTTTGGAGATCTGCTGATTCTGTTCAGTAATGCAGAGCTCCCGGCCCTGAATGTCACACGTTTGGTGTGTGGAGCCTAAAACGGTTGAGCTCATGGTGCAGCTCCATCTGTACGTCTAACTCAGAGTACCGACCCCCCCGAACATTGGTCAGAAAACAAAAGCCAGTATCACTATAATATATTAATATGAAGAGACAACACAAAACGCTGCACCGACAACCTTTACTGAAAAACTCCTAAAGGTCCACAGGTTCTCCTCTGTGCTTGGAAAGGGAGGGTGAAGCGAGGGAGTTGCATTCTGCAACTATACCACTAGATGGCACTAAATCTTTCACACTGGACCTTTAAAGTAACATTTATAAATCTCACATACTGCTACAGTACTCGATGTGGCTTTAAAACTGCATTATTACATGTTGATTGTCTCTGGATCAATATGTGGATCGGGGCCGTCAGTCAGACATCTGATACTGATCGGACCCTGAAACAGTCCTGCTGGCGTCCACTGGAGGCAGCACAGTTGGAGCCCAGTGACCTTCCAATGCTAACTAATGCTAACTAATGCTAACTATGTTAGTTTAGCTTATTGTTGCATGCTAAGCTAATGTTAGCACAGAGTGCAGCAGTGTCAGAGGATCAATAACGAGTTCATCCTGAGGGGAACATCTGTCCCTCACGTCTCTGACCTTTGACCTGTCTTCATGGAGCCACGGACAGGAAGTCTTCCCGCTGATGTCACTGTGACATCAGACGACTTCTCCTCGCCACAATCTCTTCGTCGAGTTCTCCTCGTCTACTCGGCTCGCTTCTTTCCAAACACGGCAGACATGCTCCGCACGATGCTTCGGACGCCGGCCGAGCTCTTCCTGAGCGCGCGGCTCTCCCGGACGAGGTCGACCAGCCGGTGGAACACCAGCATGGCGCCGTGGTACGTCTCTGCGGCCGACACCTCGAAGAAGCCGCAGCAGTGGGACAGAGCGAGGAGTCGTCCCTCCTCACCAGAGACGGTGCGGTGGCGCCGGAGGTCCCGTTTGTTCCCCACGATGACGACGGGAACAGACGACGGCTTCCGGCTGCGACGGATCTGCTGCAGCTGCTGGCGGACCACGTCAAAGCTGCGGCGGTCGCAGATACTGTAGACCAGGACGACGCCGTCAGCCCACTGCAGCTGTTTGTCACTGAGGGGCGGAGTCTTCTCACCGTCCTGAGAACCAACCAGAAACATTTATTCAGAACATCTCTCCTCGTGTTACGTCTTAAAGTACGACCTGTAGGGCGCCTTTAACTGGGACATTACTGGGATATTATTATATATAATAACTATATAAATACATACTATATATCTATTATAACAAACAACCTCCATATAATGAAACACTACAACTGAATATTAAACATTTTAACCAATAAAAACTGAACTGAACTCTGTGTGTGTGTGTGTGTGTTTCTAACCTGTGTGTCCCAGATGTTGAAGCAGATCTCCTGACCGTCAATCCGGTCGACTCGACTGTAAACAGACTCTGAAACAAACAAACAAACAGTTTAATACATCAGTTTTTTTTATGATCAACATGAAATCAGAAAACTGTTCAGTGTTTGTTCCTCACCGATGTCCCCGTACTCGCCGATAAACCTCCGGGTCAGGAATCTGACGGTGAGAGCTGCAGACAGACAGGCAGAGAGAGAGAGAGGAGAGAGAGATGAGAGAGAGAGAGAGAGAGAGAGAGAGAGACGAGAAGAGGAGGAAAGAGAGAGAGAGAGAGAGGTCAGTGGCTGAGACAGTTACAGTTACTCACCTGTCAGCCATTACAGGAGGAAGCACCTATAACCCCGCCCCCCCCTGAACTTGTCTAACTGATGGACCTCATCGTGAACCTGCAGGACGAAGACCTGAGTCCAGATAAAGAGTCCAGTCTGAGGGGTTTTCGTACCAGTTTTCCCGACGCTGCGAGCTCCCAGCAGCAGGATGTTGACCTCCGGTCTCTGCTGGTTCCCCTCCATCACCTCCACGCTGCCGCTCACCTGCACCACCATCAGGACTGCACGATCTGGTCTACAAGAGGGTGTTCAGCTGACAGTCAGCCCTGCGTCCGGTCCCTGTGCAGGTCCTGGTCTCTGGCAGCTCTTTATATAGACCCTGTGGGCGGGGACTGAGCTTCCTCACAGAGCTGCTGCCCCCTGCTGGCTGAAAGAGCAACCTGCATCCTAACCAGAGACCCAGCTGTGGACCTCAGGGTTCCCGCTCCTCTTCAGGACTCTACAGACTCTATTATATTTCCTATTGATCAGTATCAA